GGCCGAGAAGGGAGACCAACAGCCAACAGCATCACCTCTACGCAGAGCTCAACACCATTACTAATGTTATGCACAAATGGACTGGCCCGCCTCCCATACGGGCATTAACTTCAATCAAACGAGGACCGCGGGACGTGTACTTGGCCTCGACGTGAAAAACACCAGAGTCGAAACCTAGAGCCTTCACTGAGCTCACGGCAAGATCGACAAGCTGGTCACAACGGTCACGAGGGAGAGCACTCGGAATAACACCCCAGGTCTCGGAAAAATAGGGCTCCTTGGTAGGAGCATTATCAGTGACAACAGCAAATGTACAGCCCAAGCCAGGACTGAGCACAACATCCACATCGACCTCCTGACCGTCGAGATACTCCTCGAGTATTACGACGGTAGAGATACGACCGGCGGCAGCAACCGCGTCCTGAACAGGGACCATCATATTCATCATCGTTCTTGATAAATACTCACCGGATCACTGTGCTCATTCTTCCTCTCGAGGGCACCCGAGCTGACCACCAGCTCACTGAGGAGCTGCTGAGTCTCTCGATAGACGGCCAAAAGCTCTTCGTGGGAGTTCACCTGCAGTTTATTGAGCGAAAACACACGATGAAACCGTTACCTTTTTGACGCCTAGTGATGCTGCACCAGAGACGGGCTTCATGACAGCTGGATAACCAACAAAATCGCCAGCCGGTTCGATGTCATCCTCGCAGGATATTAAAAAGTGCTGAGAACATAATGAAAATACATGTCACCCCGAGTCATCAGGCGTACCGTGGTCCTCGGCAGACCATGCCTCTCTAGAGCTTCTCGCGTCTTGTATTTATCCCTGGCAGCCTCAACAACGTGTGGGCCGGGGCCAGGGAGGCCGAAGGCTTCAGTTAAACGAGCCACCATAGGGACCGCCAGCTCAATGGCCGTACAGATACCATCAATGGTGGTGCCGCTGGTCATCTCGAACTCCCGCAGGCTTCATAGCTTGCCTCAAAAATGGCGTCAGAGTCTTGGCTCATATCGAGGCCAATAAAATGACTAATAACGCCTTCAGTGGCGAGGCTCGA